CGGGGACCGGCGGTTGTGGCTGAATCGGAGCCGCTTGTGGCGGACTTCCAAAGGCCGGAGCTGATCCACCTAGAAATGTGAAGGAATCAATGCTTCATTCAACTAAACTGAATAATAATCGAAGCCTAGAAAGAGAAAGCCAAAATCGGTCAATTTCATGCCATCAAACGAAGAAAGGTCATGAAAGACGGCAGCATTCCAATAACGCCAGATAAACTCTCGGACCACGAATGTAAATTAAAAAGTTTTGAAGTAAAGAAAATCGAAATAGTGAGAAGGAATAGAATGGATCGAATTTCCGAAAAAACCAACCTTGACAAGACGGCCTCAATGGAGTGCTAGGATCAGAATGTACAGTGGCTGCGTTCACAGAGAGCGGTGCGAGACTAGCATAGGGGGCCTGACTCGAAGGACCAGCTCCACCTGCCATCTCTAACGAAGAATTGTGTGTTGAGTGGACCGATGATACGGACGATGGTTGTGCGCACATGTTCTAAATTAAATTAACTGAACATCCTACATAACAGAAGCTATACCCAAGACTTATTCATACACCCCTGAGCACGAATACTCGGAGCTCAACAAAGAATATCAACATGTTGTGTTACCTGCATAACCGGGCTCATAAATGTCTGTTGTTGCATTTCAGGTGTATGCTGATTTTGCATGTGACACGATGGAACACTACCAGGAGTTGTTTGCTTGAGACTTCTGAAAACTCATAGGAGAGATCAGAATGAGAAAACAAGTCAGAGCCACATTGTAAAAGTTTTTGGGAGGGAATGGAAAAAATCAAATCACCGAAGAAAAAACCTACCCTGGGTATTGCTGCAACGGCGTTGTAACTTGCTGTTGATTTGGTACTGAGGAGCACTGTTCCATCGAAGGCATTGATTGGACAGGCAGTACAGTTGCAAACATACCCTGAACCAAGATATGTAGGTGTGAGGTGAGTACTAGAAGAAATATCGAAAATGATGTTCTGGATGTTTTAAAAATATCCTGATTAATTAAAATTAAACTAGTGCTCTTGAAAGGAGATGGTAAACTGACCAACTCAGAGGGGTGCTCAAGTCATATGTACGTGCAGTCACGAACTTTGAAATAATACGTCTCCAAGGAATGTCAAAAGAAGAAAATAAAAAAATGAAAAACGATAATTAACAGTTCCCCAGTCTCTACCTCTTGTTCATCATCGTTCACCTTGTCCAGCATAGCAGGGGCTTTTGGAGGGCGATCCATGGCCAACTTTTGCTTCTAAATAGGCTTTATGATCTTTTGTAAAAAAAANAAAAAAAAGCTGATTAGTAAGATATACCTCCTCTTCCGTCATCTCTCTGACAGGTGGAAGAATCTCGGGTTCGATGTTCGCCGGTGAAAGCTGCGGAGGTGCATCATCGTCGTCAGTGTTGTAATCCTCGTGCAACGGTGGCGCGTCACCTACTGGAGCAACTGGAGCCGAAACACCGTGATGTAAGCGAGGTGGAGCTTCATCACTAGAGCCACCGCCTCCTGAGCCAGCGACGATGGCAGCCTCTGCTTGTAACTGAGGAGGATGATCGCTTTCTTCTGATGGCGCACACCTGAAACAATGAATAAGTTCACGGTGCTAACGAAGGCTTCTGACTTTTTTGGAGATCAAGACGTAGGACGAGGCCAATACTTTATGTATACCACATATATAACAGAATATGCAGCTATCAATAACCCCAGAATGGAAAAAATCCGGAACCTCAATCAACTCTACGTGTTTGCTGAAAGCAGACTCGCTAACCTCGAATATCCGTCATCATCGTCTGGTACTCCACCCATATTTACAGCTTCCTCGTGAACCGGAATTCGATCTCCCAATGGACGAGGTGAGTCAACTCCAACAGGACCGCGACTTGAACAACTTGAAGCACTTCGAGATGACTCAGTTGGTGGATGGCTTAAATGACAAATTGCCATGAATGAGACGTGCAAAAAATGAACTCTCTTTCCATAAAAAGGGAAAAGACAAGGAAACCGCACAAATCAAATAGAAAAACAACAGAATTTACCAAAAAAATCTTACCTGTGATCAACATCACTGTGTTCGCTCGTATCCGCACTGCTTGCTGTCGTAGACTTACCCTCCTTAGGGTGATGTCGTTCACCTCGATGACCTGTTTGTGACCCAGCACCGGACCGAACAACTGGAGGAGTTGAGAGTGCCTCCGTTCGAGGTCGATCTGTTGGAGGCGGCGTAGCTACAATTGCAGCCACCTAAACAGAACTCTCTGAGCAACGATCACCTCACATTCAAGAAAAAATAAAATACGAAAAAAATCATTAACAACAAAAAGCGAGAAGGTCCTACATACCTCTTCGTCGGCTTCAACATCCTGAAGCGTCCGACCCCCACCAGGACTACATCGAACTGCGGCATCACCCAGCCGCATCGGAACAGTTGCAGCCGTACCAACGGATGTGGTCGGACTATCGCAATGAGGAGCTGTTGAGGAAACTGCATCACGAGCTGCTGATGGCAACGGAGAGGCTGTTACGGCAGCAGCTTTCGGGGGACTCCTCTGGCCGTAGTTACCAGGGAAAACCTGATGCAAAGACATTTTAACGCCACACTTTAATGCCGAGCATTCAGCATTCGATAACCAAGTACCCTTACCTTTCCGGGGCTTTTGATAGGTGGCTTACGCGGAGCCGGTCTCCTCTTTCGCTGAGTTGGCGGTACCTTGCCTTTCTGAGGTTTCTTTCCGATGTGGAATGAGACATCTAGGTCATCTGAAGATAATTAAGTGAGGACAAAATCGATGAGACATTCATCATCTGAGAATACTAATGGTAGCAACAGGAACGGAAGGAAGAAGGAATAATAAAGGAGGAGAAAGAGCAAACAGTCCACGTAAATCTCACCAGATTCAGATTCCGAACTTGTGGACGGTGAATTCGTATCACTCTCATCTCCCTCAAAAACGGCTTTCCCTCTACGAGCTAGACCACCGTTCGTACCACTACCAACTTTCCTCCCATTTGATGTGGAAACCGAAGTTGGAACTTTCTTGCGAGCAGCTGATCCCGTTGTTTTAGATACATCAACTAAAATAATTTCTCTGCTTACTTCGATACGGTAGAGCCCTCTGAAGTGGAATTAACTACAAATCAGTAAACCTCAAGAAACGAAAAAGTAAACCACAAATCCTCACGTTCCTATTTTCTATATAACAAAATCCTAACCATGAAAGAAAATATGTCACAAACCCACCGCGCTTTCCTTTACGAGTTGTACGATCATTATCATTGTCTTCGTCCGGAGAGTCATCACGTCTTCCTCGCTTTGTCAGCGGATCTTAAATAATGGGTACCCTAGTGAAATAACGTGTAGTAGTACCAAGTATCAATATATATATATATATATATATATATATATATATATATCTGATTAGCGGATACAAAAACAGTCATAAAACGCTACCATATACATAATGTATACGACACAACACGCAGATGTTCTGTGACCATAAATAAATAAATTTTAGAGCGATCGCTCTAAGAACTCTGCAGAATTTACCACCTTCAAGGAATCTGCTTTTTCCCCATTGGCCCTTATTCTTATCAAGGCAATAATCATTGACACTCGGAAACCAAGAGGTGTATCCGATGGACTGTTAGTTGGATATCGTGGTAGCGAAAAGGTGTTCAAAGCAAAGCGCACATATTCCCATTGCTACCCCTGTCTTGCTGTGGTATTATTTTCGCGAACTTTCACGGAAAACTTTTTAATGCCATATCTATGGTTAATCTTACTGATGCTATTCAAAAAGGCATGTTTACCAAAACTACGAATTCTAACAAAACAACTGAAATTCAAGCAAAGTCACAAACCTCGACATCCCCTACGCGTTTTTGGATCTTCATCCTCGCTGGTGCTGCTACTCGTCTCTTCTTCGGTCGTCGTCGTAAGTTTATTCATTTGACGACGACTACCTTGGACAGCTGCATTTGAAACAGCAGCAGTACCTGTTGTAGAACTGTCCAATTTCAATCGTCGAGCGGCGGTTGCCTTTCGACAAGACCGCAAAGGAGCAGCACCCTAAAGAAACTCATCTGACTGTCATTTATGCGTCGTGGAACTATAAGCAAAATTACCAATAATAAAAGTTTTTGTGAGAAATTTGGAAGCTCTGCAAAGTTTTGTGATGTGATTACACTAAATTACCCAATCCCATTACCTATCAATCCAAAGCGGCACAAAACAGGCAAACACTATATACGTCAATCCTACAAATCTAGGCGTTCGTAGGTCAGCTTCACATCAAGAAATCATTCCCACAACTTGATAAGGAATCAACTTTATGCAAATTCCAACACAAATATCTCGTTTTCAACCAGGAATACTATCAGGGAATTCTTCCGACGGAAATTTTTACATATAACCGATGGAAATTTTTACATATAAATATTATAACCAAGCCCTGATGTTTCTCGCAGGACTTTTCCATTCTATTGAACAAAGCAGATATTTCACTAACTCGACAACTATTTCAATAAGAGTTGACCAGTAAAAGAACATTGTGAAATTTCCCGTAATAATGACTTTGCTAATTCCTCCTAATTATTTTAACAGACGTCAAAAATCTATAGAAATGAGCAATTATCACCTTTTTAATGGTGCTACCAACAGCTGCTAATGAAACACCGGATGGCGTACTCGTAACGGCCGCATTCTGATTTGGTGATGATGGTGTCACAACTGGGGATCGAATACCAAAATCTTTAGATGGAGTATAGACAGTTGGAGACCACTAAAACAAAAATGGCGCGTGAATGCAGATATGAGACCGCGTAAAGAATGATTCCACACGTGGATTAGGAAAAACATGGACGAGATTTCACCTTGAGCGCGGCTTCATTCAACCAAATCCTCGTTTTATCCGCTTTCGCTTTTTTCCAGTGTGCTTCGATCATTGTCCAGTTGAATACCAATCCGACACTAAAATCGAACTAATGAAGTAAAAAACCTAAGCAGATGCTAACCTAGAATGAACTGAAATTGAACCCAAAGCCTGGTTTAAAATCAACATTTCCCACCTGCCGTTTTGCTTTTGGAACCATCGTAACGCATCGAAAACTTCAACGATGTCGTGCACAGCTATACCAGTGGCTTTTGCGAGATCTTTAAAAAGAAATAAATAGTTATTGAACAAAGTATACAACGAAACCGATGGCAAACAAAATGAGAGTAAAGGGCTGAAAGGGGAGAAGGAGCGATTGATCGTAGCAATCAATAGGTCGTTTAAAAATAGAAAGGCAGTGAAAAGCTCACCAGTGAGCAACAACTTCTTTGTGCTATTTTTCGGCACGTGTTCGTGTATGTATTCAAATAAGGCAGTCCTCCAGTAACTTGCATAAGAAATTCTGCCCAAATCCGACAATGGTCGCTCTGGCGTGCCCATCATATGTTCACGACGCGATAGTAGAAAACCTACAACATGTTTTAATCTTCTTCTTCTTTTATTCTTACCCTTAAATTGTTTTCGATGTTCCTGGGCATACATGTAGGTTCTACAGTGGTAGAGCATCGCTACAGATGATGCGAAACCACTTAAAGGAAATTTCGACAAAAAAAAAACGAAAGTAAACAAAAAACTTACTAAAATCTATAAGAAAGCGGCCGAATCCCTGTTTTTGAAAACATGGCAAGGTTACAATGCAGGATAAGTTGAACTTCTGTTGGCTGTATTTTTCCTGCAACAATACTAACATTCCCTACATAGAGTTCTAACTCAAAACTCTCTGACAGTAGAGATTATGACTGCAGAAATCAGTTTCGTTTGTAGCTCTTACTCTTAAACGCTCTAAAAGAGTTACCGACTGCACTATGAACTTCATTGGAACCTAAAACCTACTTCCTCAACCTATAAAAGAATCATCTCAGGCGCATCATGAATTCGGTAGTTATAAAACGGAAAATGCACTAAATACTGGGTTATAAAACGCTGAGAACGTTCTCATCATATTGAATTCGAGGGATGTAATTAAAATCTCTCAACTGAAATGTCGTCATCCTAAAAAGCAGTAAAGAGCGACGTCTTTGGATCACAACATTGAATTGCAGCAAAGAAAAGAAAAAAAAAACCTCGCTGCCTTTACAGGCAGCATAACACAGAATATAAAGATTTCAAATAGTCAGAAACTAACCTTCGAGAAATATCCAACTAAATGAAATCCGTATTCGTCATTCTTGGTGACAACGTAAAATAGAAAGGGTTCCACATCATAGTATAACGTTTTATGGTCGAGAAATAATTTTGCAATCAAACACAGGTTTTGGCAGTATATTCTAAGCAAGTAGTAATGAGTTGAGGTGAAAAAACAAAAAAAAAAAAACAAAAAAAGCAAAGAAAAAAGGGAGATAAGCGAAATGGAGGCTACTTACCTTGAAACATTGCCATCCACTTCGAATACAGAAACATTATTGTTACGATAGATCTCATTACCAGGCGGATGGCGCCATTCACATTTTTTCTGAATGAAAGCGATTAAGCAGTAAGTCAGATTTTATCCTGATTTAGATTGAATCAGCGAACAAGTGACAAAGAAAAAAAAACAGCCACCAACACTTATTAGGAAAAAACTAAGGCTAAAGGCTGCACTCCAAAGAAGGTGGAACAAATTTAGATGGATGCGTTTAAATAGATGCGCACATCCCAAGCTGGAAAACTCACCATATGTTGCGCCAAAATCGCCTCCGTTTTCATATATTTCAAACAGAATTCGCAAATATGCAATATGGGAACATGAGCATATTCCTGAGGATATGGAGCACTGTACCAGGTAGAAATTTCATATGATCCTTAAATAACAGTCTTTACTATGGAACCAAAGCAGAGCGAAAACAGTTCTTTAGCAAGAAAACCATTTGTATCGAATTCAAACCTATTCGTATGGCCAACGGCCATCGTGGTTCATCCGTTGGCTCTTTCATCGTTGTCGAGGCGATCTCTCTGATTGCTTTATCGATACTCTGAATGGAAAACAATTACAATGCAACGAGAATGATACAAAGTCACCAAAATAATGCCAGATTGCTACTTTATCATGGGAATTAACTAAAAGTCTCCACCACATCCGTTAAAATTGTCTTAACGGATGCGATAAAACCATGCAGACTGGTTCGACTAGACATTACAACCTCAAAAAAACAATGAATGCTAGAGAGCAAGACATTCCACACTCACGCTTCATTAAATGAAAGCCTTAGAACCATGAAAAGGACTTGTCCGCGTAAAAATCGATGTCATAAATAATTCGTGAAATAGTTCTACAGACGCTAGGAAGCGTTCCATGAATTAGGTATTACAAAGAGGTTCATTAATGCAGTATGGCATCATTAATCCCGTTATCTTTCTTGGGAACATTCAAAGGAGAATAAGATTTTCTAATCACCTTCGAGTATCTAGGAATGTGAAAAAGTTCATTCTACATTCACATGCGTAGCAACTGCAAAAGCGCATCAAGCTCATGGTAGAGTAAGCCAACACTGTCTTACTCACGCGTTGCGCGCTGTTAGTTGACAAACAAATAAAAACACCAAAAAATCCGTGAAAGGTTTTCCGAAAAGAACCATCAATAAGCAACACACTAAGAAAATTCGGACAAACATGATTTTCACAGCAAAGCAACTAACTATAATCAGGGAGCTTGCTTTACAAGAAGAAAATCACAGATGTAAATGTTCATATTTAAATTTAACCACAAACCTCCTGAGCTCTTGACTTCACTGCATCAAACATCCGTTGCGCTTGTTCAGTTATCCGAATTTTTCCTTCTTTATCCACACTCTGGAAATTCTCCTTCTCACCGGAAGGCGACGCCGTGCAAGCCAGAACGTCATCGTTGCGAGCTGTGTGACCACTGCAAGAAACCACCATGATACAAATGGGAATGAAAGGGGATGATTTTGTATATTCCCTCTGACCAATTAGGTTCTAGAAACTGGGAAAGTTTAGGGATTTGGGAGATAATTCCGATTCCATGCAAAGGTTCTCAAATACACAGCAAACTTCGGCGGAATATTCGCAATTCTGTCAAAATTAATAAGGGATGTCAAATCCTCTCATAATGATAGTTGATCATGTACCTCGCCCTCAAACAAGTCTTCCCTGAACTGTACCCAAATGATTGTTTAGTTGGGTGAACTCACCCGGTTTTTGCCATTATGCTCTCCCCGCTTACCCGGGAACTTACTTTCGATATGAGTCACACATTCATCCCCAAACAAAGTCGAATTAACCCACTGTAATTCAAGTGATTCACAGTGATTTGATCACTAAACCTGTACAAAGAATACGCCTCCTGCACCACTGTTCGTTCACTTGACCATATTTCACGGAGACTCAAGATACTAGGGATACAGGTCTGAAAGAAGTGCAGCAGGATTTTGGTTACTGGTACGTTGGTTGTCGACATTAGGTAAGATCAGTGACGGACATGATACTAAAAAGTGGTTCAACAACTCTGAAGCCCTTCCCTCAAAAACACTTGTTGCCTGATCCACTACCCACACCATTTCACACTGATCTGACTGAAAGGAACAGAATTGTCTCCATTTAACTACCTTTGCAGCCGAATTCCGGGGTAAGTAAAAGGCGAAAAATCTCAAAATACCCAAGCTTAGCAATAGATACCGGCACATGAAATCTCCTCGGAGACGATTTGCTTAAATGCTTACGCAAAAATACACCACCTTGAAGCACCGTAGAAGATCCTCTGGAGAATTGCACGGCAAGCTTTGCTGGGATTAACAAATTACATTCCTAACGAATTAGTACAACCACGGCGCCATGAATTATACAGATGAATTCAAGAGCCTTATTACAAAATTTCGAGAGGGGATATTTCTCGTTTCACAACCCTTCCTATGCGGATCCACCGAATTTCTCCAACATTCACATTAAAACGCAGAAATTGTAAATTCGTGACTTGGACTGCTTTGAACATAAAGGTACCCTATATTGTGGAATAAATCATTCATGGGTACGCCCGACGGCTTCAAAACCTCAACAACAATCACTTTAAAAAATGATAGAGAAAAAAATTGAAGAATAAAAATCAATTGAAAAACGGTTAGTTGAGGCAAACTTACTTTTTGACCGCCTTCCTCTTATTCCGCATCTTCGATGACGCCTAAAAGAAGAAAAAAAAGATGTCGAATCAAATGAAGTCACACTGACATGTTCCGAAATCACATTAGAGCAATGA